AAAAAAAGAAAAGTGAGTTCAACATCAACAATGCAAGTCAAAAAAAAAAAAAAAAAAAAAAATTGAATTAATTTACCTTCCACCAACCATCACCATATAATTCATCTTTTTCTAATACGATGATCGGTTCACCGAATTCAAAAGAAACCTCATCTTCACTCTCCGCTTTAAATGGATGAATTGCATATACAACCTCCGACTCCATATTAAAAACAAGTTTTAGTGTAATAATATTAATAAATTAAGAAAAAAAAATTTTTTTTTTTTTTTTAACTTTCACTTTCGTTATTATAATGCTTAAATTATCTAAAATAAATAATGAATTGATGGTTTTACAAAAAGCTGTAACACACATACGAATACTTTTACTAGCAGAAAGAAAGAGAAGAAAGAGTAGACGATACAAAGAGTAAGTTACAGAATATAGCAAATTATAAAAAACAGCTTTTGTTTTCCTTTTTTTGAAACTGCATGCAGGGTTTTTTAGCAGGAATAAACTCCTAAGCAAATGTTAAAAAAAAAAAATAATAATTAAGGAAGTATTTTAAAACAGAATTTATTTGTTTATTGATCAGCTTGAAGCTCCGACGTTTCGAGTTTCGGACGATACTTACTAGGACTAGCATATTGAATGCAAATGGATAGTTTTACAATGAAAACGTGACATTATCCACTCATGCATTGTCACTATTCTTTAAAGGGAGAGTTGCACACCTAACTATTGTATTTCTTTACCAGGTACTATTTGTCATACCGTATAATAAATAAGTAGAGTTATAAACTAAGTTAGCATTTAAACAAAATAAATTTTTTGTTTCATGTAACTTACTTTAGTCCTCGTTGACCATTGCCAAAACTATAAAATAACTTGATGAAGTAATTTATAATATGCAGAGTTATTACGATATTAGTTACCAAGGTATGCCTAAGATAACGATAACCATAGAAGGAATAATTTTCAAACTAAACAAAGTGGTTTCAAATCCTTTAGTTACAAATTATACAACTGTGTAACAAAGTATTGTATATATATGTATACGTATAGATTGTATACATGTTTGATATTATCGTTATATACGGATATATCGATATAATATTAATACTTTTATATACTGCAACTTACATAATTACAAAGCAATTTATTGATCGATTGTTGTTCTAAATTGCGGCTGACATTCGAATATCGCCGGCTCTTTTAAACTGTATATTTATCATTTGATCTTTTTTAAAAATGTATTTTTTTACAAAGTTGGTTGATCTATATACTATATAGTAATAGTTAACTATATAGTGTATAGTTAACTATATAGTGTATAGTTAACTATATAGTGTATAGTTAACTATATAGTGTATAGTTAACTATATAGTGTATAGTTAACAAGGGGCAAAAAATAAGCTCAGAGACGTGCGTATTCAAATGAAGTCATTTGACGTTTAATTATATGACAATTATTAAAAATTAAATTATTATTAAATTATTAATGTTAAAAATGTGAAATTATTAAATTGTTAAATTACTGTTAAATTGTTTAATAAAAATATTGATGATAATAACAATAATGGTATAATGGTGTGATGATTATTGTAACAAGGAGCTATAAATTTATAAATTTGAGAAACGCGTACTTTTTTATATAAAATCTGCCGCGTGTTGAACTTGTTAACATTTCAAAGATTCGGATCCGGTGTCGATGCGTCGATGCAAGTGAAAAGAAATGTTCTTGGGAGATTATTTTATTATGATGATTCAAGTGTTCTACCTAGCGCAACGCACTTGTAGCCTTCCCAATAATCATATAATAGCATGCATTAGTTTATCTTGTGCCATCATAAGAATTTAACACCTCTACGAATATTATTCCTTTTTCAAATAGACGGAGTAAACGATATTCTCACTTAACCGTTTCAGACTTTGTCGAAATCCTCAAAGATGTCTTTAATAATCTTATCGAAAACATCAAATCTACCAAAGATACGATCTCATCAAATCCACCATACTAGATGTGTGCACAAATCAATTTTATTTTCTGTTGTCATCTTTTTGCGGCGATCAATCCAGAGCTCGTCGAAACGTAGTCACAGCTCCTAAATTAGTGTACCGCAATGAATTATTTTTCATGACGTTCCATTATTATCTCTCGTAAGAAAGGCCAGATTTAATGTATTGTTCTCGTGGAGATTTCGTTCCGAGTGCCGATTATTTTTAAACTTTGTCGCATATGCTGCACATGATAATCAAAACAGTAGCGCGAATAAAAATTGTGGGAAAGTTTTCGCGAGTTATTTTTGTTTCGGAAAACAAACAAAAGTTCATTTGTAACAAGTTCTCAAAATTGGCTAGCATTTTATATGTTCTCTATGTTTAAATTCTTTCATTGCTCCTTGGCGTCATGAACACTTTACCATATATAGTTTCACCATCTTTGTTCTTATTGAAGGATTTTAG